GTCAGGTGCGGGGTGCGGAGGGGTCCTGGGCCGGGCTCGGGCGGTGCCGCAGGCTCTTTTCCTCCTCCTGTGGAGAGACGGGACATGGGGATACCGGGACGGGGACACAGCACAGCACCCATGGGCTCCAGGCTGTCCCCGAGTCCATTTAGGGGGGGTCTCCATGGCCAGGAGCAGGATCTGCTCCAGGGACACCCCATGAAGAGGATCAGGGCACCCTTGGGAGCCCCCAAACCCAGGGCCACCCCATATTGGAGGGTCTCCATGGCCGGGGACACTCACAGCCTCCAAAGCACCGGTGCTGGCCCACTCGGAAGGGGCGAACGCGTCCTCCTCACCCCGCACTGGCTCCATCCCCTCGTCCTCGTACTCGGTGAGGTAGTCGGACTCTTCTGGGGGGACAAAAGGGGGCACAGCGTCAGGCCCCATATCCGGATTTAGCCCCGTATCGGGGACCCCCGCCCAACTCACCATCGGCGTATCCGTCGGACAAGTAGGGCTTGGCGGGCTCGATGCGGGACACAATTTCAGCCAAGTCGGTGAAGCCAGCGCTGGGACACGTGAGGACCTACGGGAGGAAAAGGGGGGGGGCCCCCGAACAGCCCCCGCCCCAGCATGAGAAGGGTGAGGATGGAAGGGGCAGGAGGAAAGACGTGAGATGGGTAAGGGGGTGGAAGGGCATCAGGGGACACAGTGAGAGGGACAAAAAGTGACAGGAGATGGACCAAGGGGACAGGATGGACCAAGTAGGGGTCAGGAGGATGCCAGTGTGGGACAGGAGATGGATGAGGGTTGAGGAGAACAGGAGATGGACCAAGGAGGGGACAAGGATGTTGGAGGGCACAGGAGATGGACCACAGAGACAAGAGGATGGACCAGGGTGGGAGGGACAGGAGGATGATGGGAAGGGACAGGAGATGCACCAAGGTGGCAGGGACAGAAAGATGGACCAAGGGGACAGGAGGATGGCAGTGACCATCAGGAGGTGGACTAAGGGTGGACAGAAGATGGACCAGGGTGGGAGGACAGGAGATGGACCAAGGCACACAAGGATGGACCAAGGAGGGGACAGGAGGATGGACCAAGGAGGGGACAGGAGGATGGACCAAGAGGACGGAAGGATGCTGGGGAGGGACAGGAGATGGAGCAGGGTAGCAGGGTCAGGAGGATGAGCAAGGAGGATGAGCAAGGAGGATGAAGCAGGGCAGGGAGGGACAGGAAGATGCCAGTGAGGGACAGGAGAACACCAGAACACCAGGGGGACAAGCTGCACCAGGAGGGCTAGAAGGACACAGGGGAGATGGAGGGAACAAGGGACAAGGCAGTGTGCTGCTCCCTGAAGACGGCTCCAGGGCCATGGGAAAAAAAAAATATCCTTAAAATCAGGGTGCCAGGGCCAGGGTGGCCCAACCCAGGATGCCCCAGGGCAGGTCCCCAGGCAGCCACTACCACCCGTAAGCCACAGTGCCACCCCCTGCTCACGTCCATGCGTTTGCTCTCGTAGAAGTCGGCCGAGCGCCGGTCCTTCACCATCTTCTCGATGATGTCGCCCCGGCTCCAACCGTCAAAGACCACCTTGCCGTGCTGGTAGCCCACGTCCTGCAGGGACAGCGGCCGCAGCACGTTGGTGGCCCGGGCACCCCAAACGATGGCCTGGGGCACCTCAAATGACAGCCTAGGCACCCAACTGATGGGTAGGACATCCCAACTGATGGCCCAGGATACCCCGTTGATGGCTGGAGCACCCAACTGATGGCTGGGATATGCCAAACGATGACTGGGACACTCAACCTAGTCAGGACCCCCCAAATGATGGCTAAGGGTACCCCATTGACGGCTGGGGCACCCAACCAATGGCTTGGGCACCCCGACCAATGGCTCAGGCACCCCCAGATGATGGTCCAGTCACTCTGTTAATGGCTGGGGCACCTGAATGGTGGCCTGAGCACCCAACTGATGGCTGGGGCACTCCACCAATGGCCAGGACACCCCAACCCGTGAACCAGAGCACCTCCAAATGGTGGCTGGGGCACCCAATCAATTGCTGGTTGACCCTACCTGATGGCCAGAAGACCCTGTTAATGGCCTGGACACCCAACCAATGGCAAGGGCACTTCAATCCACATCTGGGGCACCCCATTAGTGGCCAGGGCACCCCATTAGTGGCCAGGGCACCCCAATCAATGGCCAGGACACCCCAACTGATGGCTGGAGAACCTCAGCACATGGCTTGGGGTACCTCACTGATGGCCTGAGGCACTCTAAAAGATGGTCCAGGCCACCCCACCAGCCTCCTCATCCCCCAACTCACATAGATCTCATCGAACTTGCCAAAATCCATGGTCTTGAAGCGATCGATGGGGGGGCGGATGTACTCACAGTACGAGCTGGACTTCACCACCTCCAGCTGCCGCACACACGACACGTAGGCCAGGCGGGACTGGATCTCCGCCATGTCGGGCACCTGTGAGGATGAGGCACTCAGCACCCTGCCCGCACCATCTCACCAGCATCCCCGCATCCCACCAGTCCTCACCTTGACTTTTTCAGCCCAGGGGTTGAGACGTTTCCAGAGAAGCCACCAGCCAGACAGGCTGTCCCCATAGTTGCACAGGTCCGTCTCATCCTGGCTGCCCACGTCGATGGCGATCACCGTCTTGGCACCCAAGTTGCGAGCGATGTCGGCTGCGGGGTGGGAAAGGAAGAAGCTGGGTTGGCAGCATTGTGGTTTCCCCCGGTCTGAGCCCGTGGCGAGAGGTGGTGGCACAAGCGGAGCAGGGAAATGGGGTTGAGAGATTGTCCCTGAGCCTGGGCTGGATGGCAAAGCCATGCTGGGGCTCGTGGTGGGATGAGCAGTGTCCCATAGGTGCCAGAGTTGGGGACAGGAACCCAGCGGCAGGACATGCCGGTGGGGAGCAGAGCAGTGACGCAACCTGGTGCACGTGCTGGGGCAACAGGAGGGCACAGGCAAGTTGCAGCATCTGTGGTGGGATGCGAAGGAGCGTGGAAATGCTCCAGGAGAACACCCAGGGGTGAGGACACCAGGAGATGATGTGAGGTGGATGGAGACGGCTTGCACATGGAGGAGGATGGAGATGCTCCAGGAGGGCGCCTGGTGCTGAGGACAACAAGAGATGATGATGCAACATGGAGAAAGATGGTTTGCACGTGAAGGAGGATGGAGATGCTCCAGGAGGGTGCCTGGTGCTGAGGACACCAAGAGACAATGACGCAGGATAGAAGAAGGTGGCTTGGAAATGAAGGGGCATGAAGATACTGCAGGAGGCCACCCAATACCAAAGACACCGAAAGATGGTGCAGGATGGAGGAAGGTCACTTGCATGTGAAGGAGGATGGAGATGTCCTGGGAGGGCACGTGGTGCCAAGGACACCAGGAGGTGACACAGAATGGAGGGAGGAGGCTTGCACGTGAAGGAACATGGAGATGTTCTGGGAGGCTACCTGGCATCGAGGACACCAAGAGATGGTTTGAGATGGAGGGAAGTGCCATACATGTGAAGGAGCATGGAGGGCACCTGGTGTCAAAGACACCAAGAGATAATTTGAGATGACAGGAGGTGACTTGCACATGAACAAGGATGGAGATGCCCCAGGAGGTGACCTGGTGCTGAGGAGGAGGAGGAGATGAGGCAGGACGGACAAAGGTGGCTTGCGCATGAAGGTGTGCCAGGAAGGCACCCAGTGCCAGGGCCACCAAGAGATGGTATGAGACAGAGTGAGGTGGCTTACCCGTGAAAAAGCATGGAGGGCACCTGGTATCAAAGACACCAAGAGTTGGTACAAGACAGACGGAGGTGTCTGGCAGGTGAAGGAGAACAGAGAGGCCCAAGGAGGGCACCTGGAGCTGAGAACATCAAGAGTGGATGATGTAGGATGGACGAAGGTGGCTTGCACGTGATGAAGCATGAAGATGTCCCAGGAGGACACCCAACGCTGGGGACATCAAAAGATGGTGCAGGATGGAGGGAGTTGGCACCTGTACCTGCAGGAGCACAGAGATGCCTTGGGAGAACACCCAAAGCCGAGGATACCAGGAGAGGATGATGCAGGATGGAGGAAGGTGGTTGGCACCTAAGGAGCATGGAGATGCTCTAGGAGGGTACTAAGGACACCCAGAGATGATGCAAGATGGAGGGACGGTTTTTTGCACATGAAGAAGGATGAAGATGACCTGGGAAGCCACCTGGTGCTGACAACACCATGAGACGATGCAAGACTGTGTGACTTTTCTGGCACGTGAAGAAGGATGAAGATGCCCTGAGAGGATGCCCAACACCAAAGACACCAAGAGATGGTGCAAGATGAAGGGATGCATCTTGCATGTGAAGAAATCTGAGGATGCCCTGGGAAGCCACCTCATCCTGAGGACACCAAGAGATGATGCAAGATGGATGAATATTTTTTTTTTTGCATGTGAAAGAGGATGAAG